GATGTATTTTGCATCTGTGCTCCTGCTCCTAGACAATTTCAGCTACGGGGTCAATAAGGGTAAGACACGTAATTAGTTACACACAGGGTATGATAATCTAGCTATGTTTTCCACTGCATCCTTCTAGTCAAGGCCTATCGCTCAATGTAACAGGTTAGTTTAGTAACAGGTTGTAACAACGTTAGCTGACAACTGCCAGGTGGGAGCTCCTCGCGAGATTTTGAAGTATCTTGTCTCCTTGTTCAGGAAAAAAAATTACCACGAAAAACGGAAAAAATTAGTCAGAAAAACAGAAAATATTACCAAGAAAAACAGAAAAAATTACTCGAAAAAACAGAAAATATTACTCAGAAAAACATGGCTTTTTTATTTGTCAAGTGAATGCAATACGCTTCCATAGAATATAACTGAGTATATTAGCTCAGTAATGAAGTACAATTTTAGGGGTACTTGTTCTTTATTTGAGTATTCCATTTTATAATAATTCATACTTCCACTCCCCTAAATTTTGGAGTCAAATATTGTATTTTTTACTGCACTAGAATTGTTTGAAAACATTGGTTACAATAAACTTTGCAGATTTAGATTATTAAAGGTAAACTGAGCAGAACTGAGAGTTATTGTTTGTCATCATTGCTCGCCAGCAAAGGTGAAAGTAAAAACCGAAGCCAAAGCCAGATTCCATCTCGTTTGGCATTTCGCCTCGCTGCAATTGTCTTTTTTTCGGTGCTGTGTGCTGCTTACGGTCTGGCGCCTGATTGCTAACTCCCAACATCCCCAACCTCACCTGAGCACTGTAGGGGATCATGCACATAAACATCCTGAACACAGGAAATAAGGAGAAAATATGAAAATCCAGGCAGAGGGCAGAGTCTCTGCTGATAACTAAACCATCACACACTGAGAGTGGGTCTTCAGTGATGACTTGGTGGGATTGCTTCTGTATGGACACTGTTTTATATGGAAATCCTGCACAGTATACCTCTGATGCAAAATATAAATCATGATGTATTATTAAAGGTTAAACACCAAGCAGAATATAAAATAAATAAAATTATCCACCTGTCTACCAGCTCCAAAATTTAAGTGATGAACACATTCAATACATAATAATAATCCAGTAATTTATGATTTTAAATGGGTCATCCTGCCCAGTGACTGCCGTAAAACTTCTATTAATAGCCCAGGCTATTATTTGCTTAACTCACTGAAATCAACAGGCCTATATTTGGGACAGGCCTTTAATTCCTTTCACACAAAACTGTTGCTCAGCAAAGATCAGGAAATACAATCAAATTGTTTATTTGAACCAGTGTAAATATTACTTAACATATCAATTATGAATCATTAGTTTGAGAGTTACTGCACTTAAAGATTACTGCACCCTGCACACAGACACAACACCACTTTCTCCTGTTAAAACAATCCTCACAACTTGGATTAATTTCTGTGGAAAAACTCTTTTGATTCTTTTGATGTGAACTTACAGTGTGATAGAGGATTGGACACATAATTTGAGGTAGCCAACACCTGGTTTTATACATCCGAAGAATGTCTATAAATAAAAAATGAACTACTTGGCAACCAGACCAGACCTTTCATTGAGACCGGCCTGTATGTGTCAAAATGTGTGGCCACACCGGGCTAGCAAAAGGGACTGGGCGTTTCATTGAAGTTTTATGGTACTTTAACTTTTAGTATTTGATGTATATTTTGATGGTAATATTTTTGTACTTTTACTAAAGCAACATTCTGAATGCAGAGTGTTTCTTCACTGCCGTGTTGCTACTTGAGGATCAGTAACAGGTCTGAATACTTGAAGACACCTGAAGACAGGTGATGTAACTGAGAGCTAAAACAAAACAGCTATCAGTCCTCTGACCAGAAACACACTGACTGTGGCTGTAAACAGTGGACTGTATCATCTGGTGTCCCGCTGAACTTACCGGCTGGCTATCGCTCACACATAGACAATGAGCCTAAGCCTAAGCCAGTAATTCAGCAGGGATCCCGTGTGGGAGAGCAGCCGACTGGAGACAGAGAGATAGGACTGTACGGCCTACGATGACTAATACCTGAGCACAATGCCGAGGACAGAGATAGTAACCCACAAGCAGGAAGCTGACTGCGGCCATATAATATGCGTTATGAGTCTCTTGCAAAAGGCAATAAAACACATATAAAAGGAAGCACTGCAATTGAGATCTGTGAATATCACATAAAAAACATTAAACTCACAACTGGGGAGGCTGCTGAGGGAATTGTGTTGTGCACTGCTTGTTTGTGAATGCAGAGAGTGTGACGGAGGAGACAAGAGACGGCGCTTTGAATACAAAGCCTTGTTCTTTCTCTCCTGGAACCGGGCTGGCTCTACTTATTGTAAGAGTTGGTTAAAACTGGCTGACACAATAGCTACCTGCAGCCCGCAGCACACACAAATAATGATGTACAATCACACGACTGACGCAAGCAAATGCATTAACCTTTTAACACAAGCACACACATCCACACACACAGACCCGATGTGAGGGTGACATACTGGAGGGAAAAGCAGTAAAAAGCATCTCATAGTAATTCTGCAGTATGAATCTCATATGTGACATGTGGATTTTCTTCTGTGAAACCACAGGCCACCTGTCACTCCACAGTTTCCTGCCATCCACCACACAGCAGGACGCAGACACGGTCTCATTCAGAACACTCAAAGTAATGTGTTGTCTTACTTTATGTGAATGACACCTGATTTAAAAGTGTTTTATATTCACCGTGGAGTTTAACACTGAGATCAGGGTCGCACTGAGGAGGCCTGTCTGCTGATCTGCACCATGATATAATAAATTAAGGTGAGCTGATGAAGCCAAAACTATCTCCCGCTTTTTTAATCCAAGCACTGTCAAACAGGAGTCCTTCAATCAGACTAACTGAATCTGTATCTGGATCCTGCACACATGGACAAAGCAGTAAAAGAGGAGAGTGGAAATATTTTTATTCCAGATACAAAAGCTGGATTTGTCCTCCCAAACTCACAGGCTCAGTCAGTCATGTTTAGGAGGCTGAGGCAGTCTACACATGCCAACAGGCGCCACCTACAGGAAAAGAAAGTAGCAGCAGCAGCAGCAGCTCAGACCTGCAGATGTAAACATAATAATGCTGCAGCCTGCAAGCATAAAAATTAACAATTAATACCACAGCAGGCAACTGAAGATTATTTTTCTTTTTCCTGCTGCTGTTTCTGAGTGTAAATTAGTATCAAGCTGTTTCTCAGGGAGACTGAGATTCACTAAGACTGAAGCTTTGTGCTCGATTGACCATCAGATAATTGAGTTACAGTAGGTGTGAACTGACTGCAGCTAACTGTTTTAGAAAAGTGCTGATTCAACTTTAAGATCACAGGGTGTCTACAGGTATAGCAGAGTTAAATTTGAGACTTTTTCAGACCCTTTAATATCACCTTATATGAAATTTAAGACCAAACCTGCGATGGAAATACACACAGTGTGTGTTTGTTTGACATGTATAAGTACTCTTTCCAAGTAAACACACTGATGACAATTCAAACTGAACAAAACTACAGTTATTGGGTCTGTCAGGATATTTAAGACCCATTAAATCTGAATTTAAGACAATAAGACATTTTAAGGACCAGCAGACAAGCTGGATCATTTTGGGGGATGTGCTTTGTGTTGCTGCTGAAATATATGCTCTGTACAGACCTTCTGTTATTCAGACTACCCTCACTGATATCAATGTGGAGGGCAAAATAACAGAAACACCTGTTGGTATAAAGCAACATGAACCTTCACTAAGGCCCTCCCTGTACGGGCTACTATCCAAACCCACGTTAGCAACCGTAACTGGGCACAGGAGGCCTGTCAAGCTATCAGAATAAGGGAAAGTGCAGAAATGCATATGTAACCTACAACTCTGACAGCAGAGATCCTCAAATTTTGGAGGAGTGTGTCTTTTTTTTTTAACTTTCCTGAAGCCAAAAACACAAGACGAAAGATGTCTGATATGAATTTAACAGTGTGGAAGACTGACTCACACTGAACCCAACAAAGATCAACAAAGACTCCTTCATTTGCTCCAGGTATGGACCTGATTAGGTCTATATAAAGAGAGACCTAATCAGTGGCATAAAGCAGTTACAACGGGCCCCAGTGCGCACTAGTTACTAGTCATAAGGCACGTGCGCACACACACACAAAGCTTTGATTTACTTTAATTTCACAGATAAGAAACAATAAATTGTGAAGACAACAAAGCCTCCACTAAAATAGCATTTGTGTGTGATTTATCCTGGCTTCATATGAGCAGAGGAAATCTCTACTAGCTGCTAGGCTAATTTATACAATGTAAAATGCCATAGGCTTGTGCTAATAACGTTAGCATGTTGTATTTGTTTGGAAAACGTGTTTAGTATAAGACAGTTGTTTTGTCAGTGAACGTTGTGAGTTATAGTGAAGCTGATTTGTGCACTTGTGTTTGAGATTGTCTCTATTAAGCCATGTTTAATGTGTGTTTAATGTGTGTTTTGAATCAACTAAACTTTACAGCACTTCACAGAAACCCGACCACGGACTTGTGTTTTGAAGGTGTAACTGCAGAGTGACACAGACACACCACCACACAAGTATAAATGCTCACAATAGCGTAGACCACGTGGGTAGGCTACAGCATAGGCTCTCTATAGAGCTGACACACAAGTATAAACCCTGCTTTACTTATCCTGCCTGTAGACCATCAGACTGTAGGTCTGACTAGAACTGATGGTGAGGCAGCAGCTTTACACTTGTCTGTGTCTGATTCTGGGCGCTTTAAATGAACAAGTCTGTGTCGTTCTCTATAATCATGTCTCTGCGATGCATCGTCACTCCTCATGTGTTAACATTACTCCAGCTGCTCGTACTTAATGCCTCGCAGGCAGACACAGCCACTTTGCAGCTTCAGCAAACTGCGGTTGTAGTAAAGTGTGAAAATTAAATGTAAGTCAGAAATACCTTGACGTCTCGGTGGATGACATTGTTGTCGTGGCAATAGCGTAGCGCCTCCAGGATCTGTCTCATGTAGTGACTGAGGAGAAGTCGGTGCACAGGTATCGTTACATCACAGTTAAGTACATTTAATGGTTATAAACTTCAAGAACAGCATGAGAGAGAGCTTCAAACGTGTGTCACCTCACCTGGCAACTGCTTCGCTGTAGACAAAGCCAGCATCAGCTCTCTTCACAATCTCAAAACACAGGTCTGCTCCATCCATACTGATACAGACAGAGATGGAAATAGAGACAGACAGAGACAGAGGATCAGTGTGGTGTAAAGGTCAGGGCAGGAATCTGGGTACAAAGGAAAGGTCACACTTATTAAAACGTCTCTGTGATTGGTAGTGGAGGTGAAATGGAAGACGGTGGTCAGAGGAGCAGAAGCTGTAATTATGTTTCTGTCTCTAAGGGTTGATGCAGAAACAGCTGTATCACCACAACTGCTGACGTGATGCTGACAATATTCCTGTCTCGGCTGACTCGGGGATTTAGACATGGTGACAGTTATTCTTTAAAAACAACTTCAGATGAAGCGATTTGAGGAAATTTGTTTTTTTGTGTGTGTGTACTTTCAAGAAGGCAATTTTGACTTTCTCTGAACATAATTACTCAGAAATCTTGTTTTAAGAGCCTGTTTGATTAGTAAAATACACAGATGGAGATGATTAACTCCAGAGACCAGATACAGAAAACTCAATAGATTCACAACTAAATCTGGCTGAGTATGCATGAAGGCAGAAACGTGTGCAGGTATTCTTTTCATAACATTTATAAAGACCCGGGATCACCTGATTCTGCTACATAAATCTCAACTGTTGTGGAACTGGGTGCACATGCATGAGCCTTTTTCAACACCTGTAGGTAGCCATAGATAGAAACACCCTTAAACATCCTTTTGCATATCGATTCCTGTGCCCACTGCACCACTCTTTAGACCTGTCAATGAACAGCACGGTAAATAAAGTGCAGTTACACTAAGTGCATCTAAATGGACCCCAATATTCCACTAATAATCAGAATAAAAATGCCTCACATAACCACCTAGATTGGAAAAGACTGGCGATTGATTGGGCTGAGAAGGGTGGTGTAAACCTTTATCATCCTTTAATTAATTAATTTAAGAGAATTCTGGTGCTTAATAACCATGTAAATGCTTAATGTGATCATTTCTCCTTGGCTGTAATAAATATATTCTTCCTGCACATGTAGAGGTAACACTGAGGTGATGTAGGAGGTAGGCGTGCCACAAACAACATGCTGCATCAGCTGTTTCTATGAGCCTCCCCCTGCTGATTTTGACAGAGAATCATTCATATATTTAAAAAAATAAAAATAAAAATAGCACTCTGCTCGTGCTACCTTCTGATGCCAGTGCTCTGAGTAACAAATGTATTCCTTGATTTTGAAAGAGCAGCATTATTGTTATTGTTACGGCCTGCGATGTGGAGCTGCTGGACATAACTGTCTTGTTTTGCCAACAGTAACAGTAGTCTGCATTAGGGATGCACGATAATACCAGTACATCATCGGTATCGGCTGATACTGGCTTTAAAAAGAACATGCTTTTTCTTATACTGCACAATAAATGAATATTACATATTACACATTACATGTGGGCCATCATGATAAGTATGCAAGAGTATGCATGCATAATATGATGTTAATTCCACTACAGAAGAGACTCGACCATCACTAAAATTAGGTGGGAAAAATATTTATATCAGTATCAGTTATTGGTCAAATGAGTTGTTACATATCTGCATACTGGATATCTGGAAAAAAATTCAATGTCTTGCATCCCTAGCCTGCATATGAGACGTTTAGACAACACTGGTAAACTGTACAGTCTGACGATAATCCACATGTGAAGTATTAGCATCACTAACCATGTTGTATTTAGGGATGCACCAAAATGAAAATTTGTGGCCAAAGCCGAAGCCGGATAAAAATAAAAGGCTAGGCCGAATACCGAATGCCGTTGTTTAGTTTTTCATTAGTTTTTGCAGATGAACCCCCTCCAGATTAGTGTTGTCACGGTACCAAAATTGGGACCCACGGTACGATACCAGTGAAAGTATCACGGTTCTGAGTAGTATCACAATACCACAGCGAAAATGAGGCAGATGTGCCTTTTGTCATTTATAAAAAGATAAATCACTTTTCTATAATACATCAATGATATTTCAATGGAATAAATTACTTACTGACCTATTCATACTTCAAAAACAGCATCAATGAGTGATTAACATAGGGGGGATCAAAATGAAATAAATAAATAAAATAAGAATCAACCAGCCACCCTCCTTCCCTGACAAGTAAAGAACAGTCCCTAAAGTGCAGTGAGGTTTGTGGACCGTTATCTGCCACAAAGAGTAATGTGAACAGCTCGTTTCTCCTCTGACACATCACATACCTGAGTGCTGCCACGGCTCAGCTGTCCAGGTGCTTTTGGGCAGTCATGACGCCAAGAAGAGGACATTATTGGAGCTGGAATTCTCCGTCGCCGGTAAGCCTTATCTTGCGCCATGGAGCACTATGGCTGCCGTATTGCTGCTGCTGGTTGAAATCTGTACTTGCACAGCGTGCTGAACGATTTATTTTGCTCGCACAAAACTATTTTTAGTCACAAATGCAAGTGCGGTGAGGGACAAAGTAAAATATCGCCACACTGCCGACATTTTACTCCGTTTGTCACCGCACGCTGTTTGATTGCGTTATCAAAACATGCTGCTATTCTTCGGCCTTGCTTTTCACTTATTCCACCAAATACCGAATGTGTGTTTTTTTTTCAATATTCGGCCGAATATATTCGGTTACCGAATATTCGGTGCATCCCTAGTTGTATTAATATGCAGAACGGCTTTATCTCTTGTTTTACTTTATGTATTGAATGAACTGAATTTTCTCAATTAAGCTGTAAACTAGACTTCCTGCCTTGCAGTTAAGTTGCACTTAAAAGTCTCCATCCATGTCAGTGAAAACATGGATGCTTCACACACAGAAGATCTATACAATCAGCACAGTTTCAAGATTAGAGTCACCAATTCAGTATCTGACCAAATGTCTCCCCTTCTGTTCCTGAGATATGACGCTGAGTAATGTCCAGCTAAGTGTTTTTGCAGAACATGATGATGTCACAGTGAAGCTGACCTTTGACTTTTTGGATATAAAATGTCATCACTTCATCATCTTATCCTGTCAGACAACTGTCTGCAGTTTTGTCAAAATTTTCATATGAACTTTCGAGTAATTTTGACCTTCGACCACCAGTGTCTTATCAGTTTACTGTTGAGTCCAAGTGGCCGTTTGCGCCAAATTTGAGGGAACTCTCTCAAGGCTCTCTTGAGATATTGCGTTCACATGAGTGAGATGGACAGGGTCACAGTGACCTTGACCTTTGACCACCAAATTCTAATCAGTTCATTGTTGAGTCCAAGTGAATGTTTGTGCCAAATTTGAAAAAACTTCCTTCAAGGCGTTCTTGAGATATTGCCTTCACAAGAATGGGACAGGCGAGGTCACAGTGACTTTGACCTTTAATCTGTAACCACCAAAGGAATGGTGTCCGCTCAGGTGCTTTTGGAGTGCGCTCTTCTAGCCTACTTAGTTGTGCTCAGTCTGACATAACCTTTTGGGTACACTCAACTTGGATGATGGCTGATTATCAATAGAAAGTTTCCATATTAAAAGCACTAGTTTATGATGATTTTAAAGGATCTTTTAATAACTGCAGAGTTGTAACTGTCACCCATATCTTTACTTTTCATATAAAATATATTCCGGCTCAAGGCCGACTGCAGACGCCTCAAGTGCATATCAGATTTTACTGCACATGTGTTGTACCCCAACAATATGATGAAATATGACGCAGTGAAAACTCCTCTTTGTAACCTCCTTAGCCAAAACCTAAGGTGGGTTTTAAACACTGCAAAGCTTCCTGAGCCTCTAATGCTTGTGGGTATGGAGTTCCACTTCCTCACTACTTCAACCGGATGTGTTTCTGACCTGTGGTACCAAGTCACTGCTAGCAGATGCCACTGCTGAGATAGACCAGGCATCCTCGCAGGTTGTGAGATCATAAATGATTTTAAACAGGCGTGCGTGAGAGAAGAACTAAATTAGATAAAGTCAGATCATGTCTTAGATTTGTTTTAATATAATGTATACAGACAGAAGAAAGTGGTAAAAGCAGTGTCTCCGCACACTCCTCCTGACTGAGTGAAATCAGTTGATCTTATAATAAACTATTTAAGAGTGTGTTTCAAAGCAAAAAGAAGTTTTAAATCCGTGGACGGTCAGGTTCTTTTCAGAGGGAGAGATGTGGAAGAGAGAGAGATGAGAATATTTGCACTCACTTCATGCAACGGAGCCTTCAGCAGCAGAAGCTGTTTCTGTAATGGGGAAGTTTTAATGCTTTTGCATTCATAAAATCCCTCCAGAGACATTTACAGTAAAGATACAGCTCTGACAATAACAGCTGCTCAGCGCAGTCAGAATCAGGTTGTAGCTGAAGGTGACAGTGCGTCTCACACCTCGCAATCAATAAGCTGCCGGGGACTCACTTTTAAGCTGCGGTCATTAGGCCCTTACACACCGCCTTGGTCCTGTTTAGCTGGCTGTTTACTTACACACACACACATACTGAAGACTGAGTGACAATCCTCAGACACACACACACACACACACACACACACACACACACACACTTAATTATGGCCCAGTCATTTAGCTTCAGCCGATTCTGTCTCTCATAATTGCTCTGTTCCCATTCTTCCCCAATTACTGTAACCTACTCTTTATTGTCACTAAGCCTCTGCACCAATTAAACAGGGCTGTTATGTAGGACTTGGCTGTGGCACATCCATATTTCCTCCACTCCTATCACCTCACACACACACTCACATTTTAAGGCTGCCTGATTAGCCGGCAGGGAGACCAGGGAGATAGGGAGACACATGAAGCTGTCCACATCTATCTGCCATGTTTACCCCGTTATCAGCTCTGCTCTCTGCACCACTCCAAGAACGCCTCAAATCCACCTGCACTCCCACGTGTGTGCATTAGTGTGTATGAAACACAAGCTTGTGCACAAATGAGCTCCAAAACCATGAAAATCCCTTTAAATGGAGCTCGCTTTGCGTTTCCTTGAGAGTTCTCTCCCCTGCACCGAGCCGTATGATGGAACTGTGTGCGAAACCCGAGCGCTCGCCTGTTCAGCGATAACAGAATTAAATGATAAAGGAATTAGTTCTGGGAGAGGAGGAAAGATGAAGATAGGAGGAGCTCGGGGAGAGGCGCAGCTCTGAGAAAGGCTGGAGGTAGCAGCGAGTGTGAAATCTTAATCTCATCTCTTTCCCTTCATATATATGGGACTGCGCTCGCCCCCTGCACACCGTCGCGCCCCCTTTTCTTTTTTCTTACCCCACCCCCATCCTCAGCTAACAAGCTTTCTCATATCAGTGCTGATTATATAAAACCACCGCAGGGTTCCTCTCTGTCCTGCTGCTGCTGCACCCGCCCTCCTCACACTGTCATCCTTCTCTCCTTCCTCTCACTCCTCCGACTGTATGTCCTCCAGTAGGTGCAACCTACTGTGACCCCGCCCACCATCTCTGCCTTTCACCCACATGAGCTTTTGATGTGACTTGTATGTTTGAGTCATGTTCCTTGCCGGGAGAAGACTTACAACTCAAAGACCATGTAGAGCATCCCATCTGAGCTGTACGTCTCCAGCAGCTCCACGATGTGGGGGTGCTTCAGCATGTGGCAGATGCTGGCCTCCCTCTTCAGATCTGAAAAGCAAACAGACACAGAGAGATGAGCATACATGACAGCAGGACCAGCGTGCATTCATATGATCTGTCATCACATACTGATTAGCCTTATTAATTCTGCAACTGAAAGATGACATAATGGCCCTCATTCATCAATCTATCTTACAAACCAGTGCAGATTAGAGTGTAGAAATCATCTTATGTTGGGGTTCACATGGGATTCATGAAATGTTCTTATATCACCGATCACAGCGTAGGAATGATCAGATGTTGATAAATATGGCAGCTGAAAACAATCGTCATTTACATATCCCTACCAAGCATATTCTGAGTCTAGAGGCCTTGTCCCTTGAGAGTGAGAGTGAGAGTTTACAACATGGAGAATCGTGATACAGCCAAGAAGAGAAACTTCTCTACGCCAGAAATGGAAATGCTGACATCCCAGGTCCAATATAACCAACTGGTTCTATGTTACAGTCTGAGAAGTGGAATCAAAGGAAGTCAGAAAAATTAAGTATGGAAAGAAAACACTGCTGCGGCCTTGCAGTGTATAATCAGTCTCGAGGTTGGAATATTTAATTTATACATCCATGATAAGTAACCAACCTACGGCTATATAGATTTTCAGCCATTTTGAAGTTTTTGAAAAACACTTCAAATGGATCTCTTCCTAGGAAGTTTGAGCGATCTGCATGAAACTGGGTGAACATAATCTAGGGACCAATATCTAAAGTTCCCTCTTGGCAAAAGTTGGAAAACTTACTAAAACTGAGCTTCTATAAGGCAATGAATATTGCGGAGGGCGTGGCTCATCACATAAAGGTGTATAACATCTCAAGGGTTTCACCCATCACCACGCAACTTTGTAGGCATATGACCACACATAATCTGAGGGGACCCCTCCATTATTGACCCCATCAAACAAAATGGGGGCGCTAGAGAGCTCATTTCTTATCTAGGCCTAACCGCCATATGGATTTTTACTAAACTTGGTAGATATGTAGAACAGGACGCCTCAAGGTGACTGGAGAAATTTAACTCTAATTGGCAACTGGGTGGCGCTATAACAACAGAAAAATGCTTCAAAATGGCTAAAATGCAACCGATCGCTGTGGCTCCCCCTGTGGACCAATGTTGTTGGGTTTTTTTTCTAATTTTTGGTATGACTAAGTCATGGTATGGTATGCTGTACATAATCATGGAAACTGTCAGTGTGTCATTCTACCAGTGCGCCCCACTTTTAAGTCAATATATCATATAAACACTTTAACTATCTGCCTTTCAACGTGCTACCTCAACTACTAATGTACAGTTTTAGCCCACTAACTATCCCACTACTGGCAATACTACTGTACTTTCAATAAAGCAATCGTACTATCAAATTCACAAACACTCTGTCTGAATACATTGCTCTTCTTAATGGGTTCAGTTGACTATTTAATCTGCAATTTCCTATGACCTGTATCCCAAACACACACCATGTGAAACTGTACGTAGGCAACTGTGCACTCAATGGGTATGGACTAGTAATATAGATAATGTTCTAATATTCACACAAAAGCTTGTAACTGATCCAGACTGAGGAGCGTGTCGCTGCATGTATCAGGTCTGCTTCCATTTCAGGCATAACAGGTAGCGGAGGAGACACAGACGTGTGTCCAAGCTGGACACCGGTAAAGATTTAATCACCTCGGCTACTAGTATTTAAATAATGACACAGTGCATTAAAATGATATTTTAATGATAAATTCTATAAACATGCTTTGATTTGTCAGTGTTAAAAAACAGAAAAGTTTCAGACAGAGCTGAGCACAAGCGTCAGTCCTACAGAGCCTGGCAGCTGCCAGCTGTGACAAACAGCACGTGTCCATATGGCGACTACACATTTTTAAGGTGATTAAATGTGACTGTAAATACTTAGATGTCAGTCAGAATATGGTCTATTAACAATTCTCCACCTCAGTCAGATTTACTGCTGCACCGATGGTCCACGCTGACCCAAACTTCCGTGCACGAGCTAAGACCTGACGTGAGATTAGATCGTAGCCTCTGCTCACGTCCACATTGATAAATGCCGAACTTTGCATGGAAGTAACCGTACGCCCAGTTTTGTGTCGTACGTTTGTTTAATAAATTAGGTCCAATGTATGCATCCCTCATATGTCATAAATATTTTCACAAGAGACCAGACATTGAGATAAATCATCAAAAGATCTAATGCGGTCTGTTGTAGGGGTGCCATCTCTCGTCCTGGCAATGCAGTCCACTCATACACTGTATAAATAATGGACGTAGCTTCTGGTTTGTGGACTCCTGCTTTGAAGTCTCAAGTTGGTACTTTAGCCGTCGCCATCTTGGTTTTCTGGAACCAAACGTGACCATTTTCGTACGAGAGGCTGAAGCTGAGAATAAGAGAGGAGTGAACCGGACTCACAGACTTCAGTGATCCTCACAGACAGCCTGTCACTCTAGCAGCCCCGTCCTTAAAAATGCTTAACTTTGAGCCTTAAAGGGAAATTTCGGATTATTTCAACCTGTCTCCTATCGTACTAAATTTGTTTCAAGTGGCTAGTGACATAAAAATAATAGTTAGCATGTTAGCCGTTAGCCTAGATACAGCCGGGGCGCATAGTAGTGTCAGACCTGTTAAAACGTAAGTGAACGGGCAACCTTCAAGTGCAAAGTTAGTCCACTAAACAAGCTTTTTTTCCACAAAGACCGCCTCATATCATTAGGATAAATGTCAGAGAACATATAGAAAACGACATGTAAACGTGTTGTGTTACCTTACCGGTGTGCTGTTCTCGTGAGAACAAGCAGTGATCTCATACCGTGCCTGAAATCTCGTGAGAACAAGCAGCAACAGCTGGAAGGCAGAACCGGACAGTAGCCTGAAAAGTTCATTCATTTATTTTATGAAAGATTTATAGAATAATGGCTGACTTTTTGCCAGACTTCGACTTTGTGGAGGAGGAATTTGATTTTGCAGAGTTTGATGGCCGCCCTTATTTATTTGAGCCAGAATACACTGACGAAGAGCTTTGTGAAATTGAAGAACGGAGGAGGAGAGAGAGAGAGGCACAACAGGTAGAGGACGAGAGAGGAGGAATGGCTGCTGCAAGGCTGCGTAGCTCTGGAGATTGGTGGTGTACCTGTGAATGCTGTGCCCCAGTGCCCACAGAAGAGGAATGCCTCTGTTGCAAGGAATGGGACCGGTTGCAGCCTTATTTTCAAGGTCTGGATGTGACCGAGGACGAGACACCTCCACCTGGAGTAGTATCCAGCTGGGCTTTATCTAGAGCTCGCGAGATATATTTCGGCTGCACTTTGGAAAGCAGAGCTAAATGGTAAACAAACATGGCAGCACACCGGTAAGGTAAGACAACACGTTTACATGTCGTTTTCTATATGTTCTCTGACATTTATCCTAACGATATGAGGCGGTCTTTGTGGAAAAAAAGCTTGTTTAGTGGACTAACTTTGCACTTGAAGGTTGCCCATTCACTTACATTTTAACAGGTCTGACGCTACTATGCGCCCTGGCTGTATCTAGGCTAACGGCTAACATGCTAACTATTATTTTTATGTCACTAGTCACTTGAAACAAATTTAGGATGATAGGAGACAGGTTGAAATAAACCGAAATTTCCCTTTAATAAAATGTAAATGGGTGAGTTATATAAAAATTCATCCTTGCTCAGTTGTCATGAACGGAGAAATTAGCCATAGAGACCAAATACGTTTTTCTGTACCAGGCTGCAAACATGTTTATTTCTTCTGTAAGGTTTTTAACATGGAGGTCTATGGGGATTGACTCGCTCTTGGAGCCAGCCTCAAGTGGACATTAGAGGAACTGCAGTTTTGGCACTTCATCATTGGCTTCATATTTTAGCCTCAGAGATTGCATCTTGAGTTCACCTCAATGTGTTCATCAGTGAGTAATAATCACAGTCACACCATGGTTGAGCACTGTTGGGTATATTGCTTGCCCAGGGCGTCAAATACGCTAGTTGTGGCACTGCAAGGCAACTATCTGTGGTACTGATAATGTTGCCAACGTCTTAACAACCCTGTATAACTCTGTCTGATCAGCTGCTTCTTTGCGTATCATGAAAGAGGCTATCCCCCACTGTGCAGGCGCCCTGACCAATCAGCAACATAACACTATACCCAGGCTCTTTTCTCCTTTATTACCTCATCATTAGAAGTCTTGGATCATTTTTGTTCAGTATGGTAAGCCCTATCAGATTTGAGGGTTTTACTGCTCTTACCCTCATCACAACATCATAAAGCACCCTCCTTATTTTGCAGACTCCGGCGCTACTGGCAAAAAAAAAAGACATATTTACACCACATCATATTTTATTTTACACCAGTCTGAGCAGTTGAACCCCGAAGCTTTTCCAGCGTAACACCTCAGCTTTTCAGACGCTGCTGCCTACCTCAGGGCTTCCTGTAGCTTAGCTCTCACTGTTAGCAGAGAGGAAAATGGAAAATGCACAGCGCAGCATACTCCTGAAAAACGATGACTCATCTGTAGGACTGTCTCGTGTGCAAATTGGCAACACGTCTCTGCTCTTCTTTAGGTTCAAGTGATGTTTGTATTAATCCCATTATTTGAGATCCTCTTACTGCTGCCTGGCAATAAGCATCTACTACTTTAATTGGTTCCTTAAGAAGAGGAGGGTTAATGGAGGGGGTTAGTGAAGCTGAAAAGAACAATGCAGTCGGCTGTTTGGAGGAATCACTGGGGAGAGATGACAGACAGAGAAGGCAGAGAAAAAAAAACACGAACCACCACATAAAGCTCTCCTCGTGAGACAAATGTGAAACATAACGTTCTGCTTTTAAAGGATGAAAACGGAGGAAAAGATAATTTGATATAATCTGATGAAACCAGGGCGTTGACGAGACTGACGTGAGGAAAAAAAGACTGCTCAGACAAATCAATATTCTGTCACTGTCTCTCTGATGCAAACTGAAAATTGTTGTGTCATGTAAAACGGGTTGAGCGGAGG